GATGTTCTGCTGCTGCTTCGCGCCCAGCCGCGTGCTTCCTTGCAAATGCCATTAGAGAAGTAAAAGAAAAGAAGATAAGAAAGAAGGATAATTCAACAGGTAGAGAAGCAGCACCTGCAGCAGTTGCAGCAGTTGCAGCAATTGCAGCAGTTGCAGCAGTTGCAACTGGGTCAGAGATATAATAATAATAAAAGCCACACACAAATTCCCAACAGCTAAGCAACAGCTGCTGAGAGACTGAGTCGAGCTTAAAGTAATGAAAATGCAGTAAAACAACAGAAAAATAATACTCTTAACAAGAGAAAAAAGAGAAAAAACGTGTCCATGCACGCAGCAGCAGCAGCAGTAGCAGCTCAACGGACTGCTGCCGCCTCGGCTGTTGCTGCTGATGTTGTTGTTGCTATTGTTGCTGCTAGTGCTCTTGCTGCCGCAACAAGTGCCGTGCTATGTTGCTGCAGCAGTGTTTATGTCTTTTTAGAGAAACCTAATCAATAGAATCCGCTGCTTTAAGAAGAATTCAAAGAAAAGTAGAACGCCTCCTCAATCTCCGCATGCTATTCTCTATGCACCGCACTTCCTCGGGCTCGCTGTGCTGTGCACTCAAGCCCCGGAGCTGTACAAGTCTTGAACAGCAAGAAAACGCTAAAATAACAATTATTATTACATCATTTTGAAGGGTTTTTAGTTTTCAGAAGATAGAGGAACGGCTGAAATGCCTTTAACACGAATATGCATCCATTTTAACTGAAGAGGATACAGAGAAAACAGAAAAGAAACAAGGGAGCCCAGACCGCTGGTTGAGTGCCGTTGTAGAAGGAAAGCAGCGGGTTTTGCGCGGGTTTCAGTGGAAAGCGAAGAAAATGATGCATTTTAAAGAATTATTTTGAACAATTAATTCAATTGTCAAAAAATAATACAGAAATACGCACTATTTATATATGAAAGCTGCTTACCGTTTCCTTCCCTTCTCAACCGATGAACGTAAGCTTCGTATACACCCGAAGCTGCACATACACCCCAGCACCTTTTCTTCTTCTAACTCCACAGCACGCTTATCTGGCTCAACTAATCTAACAAGAATTCAGTAATTGTTTTAATTAAACGAAATAACAAGTAGACATAGCCGCCCCTACCTCTTAATATACGCCAACTCCAGTAGAAGCTGCCTTTCCACACGTACACCTCAAACTTAACAGCCTTCCTGCTACTACCTCTTGCAGCTGCAGCAGCTGGAAGAGAAGAAACTCTCTTCTACATATCTTCCATAAGTAAATAGGAGGCGGGCGAGAGCTTCCCGCCGGAAAGGTGTCTAGTTTGGGGTGTATGAATGAATAAATATTACGCGCAGCTTCTTGTAGAGTTATGTATATTAACAGGTGAGGGCTGCTCTCCCTATCTGTTATTTCGTTTAATTCAAACAATTAGAGAATTCCCGTTAAATGAGTTGTGCCGAATAAGCGTCACCTGGAGTTAAAATGAACCCCCACCGAGCTGCACATACACCCCAACCCAAGGGAAAACTACCAAGGCTAAACTAAATAATCTCCTCCCTCATATATATATATATATATATATATATATATATATTCCGCCATAGCGCCAGATATAGAGACAAGCTCATTCTGTGCACAACTTCCTTTATATCCTAACCCTGCAACCTCCGCCTCTAGAGGCAGCGGGGGCTCTAACGCCCTAACTTCTTTTGACTATGTTAAATAAGCTAATCCAATTCTAAATAAAGAAAGACAAGAAAGGGAGACCTTCCTCCATTCTTAAATATCGTTCCCAGTTAGGCCCCGGATGGGCTCTCTTCATCTCTACCCCCTAAGGCGTGCAGCAACTCAGTGCTTGCAAGTCTTTGAGGAACTCTTTGTTTCTTTGTTTTACTTCTTAAACCCCCAGCACTTCTATATCTGAGAGATAAAGCTGCTCTCCCTGAACAGCCTTTACATCCCTCACCCGATACCCACATAAAGCCCCAGCGCTGCAGCAGAAGCAGCAGCAAGCTGCTGCTGCTGCTTTACCCTCCAGCGACAGACAAATAATATAAAACATATTCGCCTGTCTCATCAGAAGCTGCCGCTGCTGCTCTCCCGCAGCCTACGCTGCACAAGACCAGCTGTAGCTAGCTAGCTAGTCAGCTAGCTAGCTACCAAGCCACTGCATGCATGCATGCAAGCGCTCCTCACCTCCTATCCCCCCTCCCCGTACACTTGCTGTAAATTGTTTGCTCCGCCGGTGGTGCAGGCCTATATCTGCTTTTGTTGTGTATTGCTTGGACTGTATTGCTTGCTTGTCTTAAATGAATAAACTTTATTTGCATATGTACATTAAGAGTTTATTATGCAGAACAGGCTGTAACCCACTCTATACTTTCTTGATCTAATTCTTCTTCTTCTTCACCCCCCCTCTTCAACTGACGAGCGGATGGCGTAGCACATACACCTCCCGATTAAATAGATGTATATGTTTATATTATTCTTTGTTATTGTCTTGCAGGGTATGATTAGTTTAGTATGAATTTGATAACTTGAAGCTTACTTTGTCTCGAGCTTTGCAGGCATCTCTTGTATTTGTGTGTTGTAGTGGGTCTCAATTTCTTTGAGCTGCTCCATGTCATTAATAGTAACGAAGTTAATTGCAATACCTTTTCTACCGAATCGACCGCTTCGACCAATTCTATGAATATAATTTTCCTTTGAAGTCGGTATATCATAGTTAATAACCAGAGAAACCTGCTGCACATCGATACCCCTAGCTAATAGATCTGTTGTTATCAGCACACGTGTTGAGCCGCTTCTAAACTCTCTTAAGACTGTCTCTCTCTGCTGCTGCTCCATATCTCCGTGCATTGCTGAAACTGTAAAGTCCTGCCCAGTCATCATTTCTACCAGCTGCAAGACTCTGCGGCGGGTATTGCAGTAAATAATCGCCTGTAAAACCAAACAAACAAACACATATGAAAAAATAATAAATAAATAAATATATTTCAATATCTATACAAAAAGAACTATTCAAAAACATACAAATTCCATCCAGAAAAAAACAAACAACACATACTATACACCTGAGCTGCCTATACACCTGAACGGAGCTGCGTATACACCTGAGCTGCGTATACACCTGAGCTGCCTACACATATATTAAAAATATATATAACTTACTTGAGTGATGGTGAGTGTTTCGTAGAGGTCAACAAGCGTATCGAATTTATTTTCTTCTCTTTGCACATCAATATAATACTGAGAAATACCTTCGAGCGTCAGCTCATCCTTCTTAACAAGGATGCGCTTGGGTTTTCTCATAAACTGAGTGGTAAGCTCTAAGATATCGGAGGGCATAGTAGCACTGAACAGAGCGACTTGTACATCCTGAGGGAGATGCTGGAAGACTGAGAGGATCTGTGCTTTAAATCCTCTTGAAAGCATCTCATCTGCTTCATCAAGAACAAACAAAACCATGTGGTCGCACCTTAGATGCCTCTTCTCCATCATATCGTTCACCCTACCGGGTGTACCGACAACTACATGCACACCCCCGTGCAGACGCTGAGCATCTTCGCGTACAGACGTGCCTCCAACGCATGCATGACACAGCACTTGCAAATAATCTCCTAGAGCTAACGCAACCTGCGCCCACAAAACAAATACAATATATTTAATATTTAATATTTATTTAGTTATTTCTTTGTTTGTTTGAGCTATATTTATCTTGTTGTTTATATATATAATGTATATAAATATACATGTATGCATAATATAGATGTATATATTATATTATATATGTACAGCATGGGTGCATTAGGAGAAAAAGACAACAACAAACATACGAAGACACAGCGAAGTAAACTCAAAAACAACACCCAACGCATGCTGCTGCTGTTGGTGCTGCTGCTGTTGCAGCTGTTGCTGCAGCAGCAGCAGCGGGGCAGCATAGATGTGTTTGCATGCATAGAAGCAGAGACAAGCAGCAACAGACAACCCTAAAGACAAGAACAGCCTAAGCCCCCGCCCTACCCACACCCGATAAGGTGCAGCAGACAACTGCTGGTGCTGATGTTAGCAAGCACACACAAGTAGCGCGTCTGCTGCTGCCACCGCAGCAACAACAGCAGCAACAGCAAGAGCAGCAGCAGGAAGAAGATATAAGACATGCATGCATACCTTTTGAATCTGCTGCGCGAGCTCTCTTGTCGGGGCTAAGATAAGCACCTGACAAGCAGGCTTGCTGTAGTCTATTTTTTGCAGAGCAGCAATAACAAATGTTGCTGTCTTTCCTGTACCGCTCTGTGCCTGTCCTATAGTGTCATGGCCATCGATAATAGGTTTAATACCTCGCATCTGAATGGCTGAGGGCTTCTCAAAACCGTAAGAATAAATGCCTCGCAGCAGCTTCTCGTTGAGGGGTAGATTGTCGAAAGAAGTAATGACTTCTTCTTCATAGTCGCCATCTTGTCCCTGCTGAGACTCTTGCTGCTGTTGTTGCTGCTGTTGTTGTTGCTGCTGCTGCTGCTGCTGCTGCTGCTGCTGCTGCTGCTTATCCTCCCCCTGCTGCTGAGGCGCCACCTGCTGCTGCTGCTTGTTCTCCCCTTCCATATTCTGTCGCTGCTGCTGCTGCTCTGTCTTATACACAAACCCTCTAGCAAACACAAACAAACAAAACAATGCTGCAGTACATAGACAGATACACACAACAGACCCTCCGGTGGGGCGCATGAGCGGGGTGCTGCTGCTGCTGCAGCAGCCGCTGCTGCAGCAGCCGCTGCTGCTGCTGCTGCGGAAGCAGCAGCAGCAGCCCCTCACACCAACAACCTACAAAAATACACAGTCATCTATAAGATAGACAATATATTTATTAATTCTTATACATTTATTTGCTTATTTCTTCTTATTACAATCTCTTTATATTTATTATATAGCCCGTATATCCAAGCACACCCTTCGAACCCAGGCCCCGCACTTACACCACCAGTGGGGCTGCTGCTGCTGCTGCTGCTGCTGCTGCTGCTGCTGCACGACAGCAGCCCCCACACAGTTGCTGTGTATCTGCAGCTACGGGCATTAAATTATTTAAGTTGGTTGTTTTAAGCTTTTCTTCATTCTTTTTAGAAGGAATATCTTAATAATAGCGGCTTGCATCTCTTGCTGCTGCTGCTGTTGCTGCTGTTGTTGCTGCTGCTGCTGCTACGCAGCCCCCACTCTCGCTTTCTCGCTACGTGTTGCTGCTGTCTCTCGTTTTTCTATCTGCTGCTGAGTAAAAGGAATTAGCTTAATAGATAACAGCCTATTTGTGCATGCACTTTGCATGCAAAGCTGTAGACGCGCAGCTGCTGTAGCTGCTGCTGCTCGTGCTGCTGTTCCTGCTGTTGTTGCTGCTTCTGTTGCTGCTGCTAATGTTGTTGCTGCCGCTGCTTCTTTTGGTAGACTTTGCTGCTGCGGGTCCTACTGCAGCCACGGCTACGGGGACATCTCCTGCTGCTGCTTTCGTTGCTTCCTCTGCTGCTGTTGCTGCTGTTCGTGCTGCTGCTGCTGCTGCTGCCTCGAAGCAAGTATATAGTGTGTGGGGCGAAGACGGACAGGATTAACAGAACAACCAAAGACAAACAAATGATAAAATCAAAACAAATTTATTTTGTAGATGCATGTCTATACACTCCGCCTATACTTTTTTTTCTTTCTAATGTTTAAGGGCGTGTAGTTGAGGTGTATATTCATTCATACTATTAAATATATATATATATATATATATATATATATATTACATACTCTGTATCTGTATACCTCTACTGTATATATGTAATATATATATATATATACATATATATATATATATATATATGCATATATATATGTAATATATATATGCATATATATATGTATATATATATATATATATATACATATATATATATGCATATATATATGTAATATATATATATATATATGTGTTTGTAAATACGCTTAAAATATATCTGCAAACATTAAAATAAATTGAATACAACAAAGTTATTCCCTCGAAGAAAAGCTGCCCCTTTGCTGCAGCAGCAAGACTGCTGCTGCTGCTGCTGCTACGGGGGCTGCTGCAGCTCTTGCTGCTGTTGTTGGTGCTACTGCACCTCCCTGCTGCTATTGCTGCTGCTGCAGCAGCTGGTGCTGCTGCTATTGCTGCTCCTGCAGCAGCAGCTGCTGTTGCAACAGCAGCTGCTGCTGCAGAGAGATGCAGCCAATCCTAACGCTGCCGAAGCAGCCGTTGCTGTTCCCACTGCCGTTCTTGAAGCAGCAGCAGCAGCAGCAGCAGCACGAGCTGCCGCTGCTGCTGTTGTTGTTGCTGCTATAAGACACCTCCCTTTTTATAACTACGAATTAAACCTTTGATCGTCTTACCCCCTCTCCTTTGGTCGCTGCTGAAGGCCTCAAACCCTTCACCTGCTGCAGCTGCAGCAGCAGCAGCAGCAGCAGCACCAGCAGCAAACCAGTCTGGCGAGGCCGATTCTCCGCTGCTGCAGGTGCTGTTGCTGCTGCTGCTGTTCAAACTGCTCTGCGGATTAGTGGGATGATTCTCCTTTCGCCGTTTCTTGCTGTTCGTTATCATTTGCTGCTGCTGCTGCTGCTGCTGCTGCTGCTGCAGCTGCTGTCGTTGTTCTACCTGTTGCTTCTTTGTCGCATCGGTTGCTGCTGCTGTTGCTGCTGCTGCATTTCCAGGTGAAGCAGAACCCGCACACGAGGCTGCCGAATTCGAAGAAGCGCATCGCTGCTGCTGCTGCTGCTGCTGCTGCTGCTGCTGCTGCTGCTCCGCTGGGGACTCCAACCCGTCTTCTGTTGCATCTGAGTCGCTGAGAGTAATGATTAAAGCTGCATCAGCATCAGAAGCAGCAGCAGCAGCAGCATCCCTACCTCTCTTTGAAGGAGGCAACGAGCTGCTGCAGCTGCGGCGGTGTGGCTGCTTGCTGTTGCTGCTGCTACTGCTGCTGCTGCTGCTGCTCGTTCCTTTACAATCAGATACAACAGTGTGGTGTGTTGTTGTTGCTGCTGCTGCTGCCTGTGCTGCTGCTCCGCGAGATTCTTCTTGATGTTGCTGCTGCTGCTGTGACTTTGAGGCATGCTGTTGCTTTTGCTGCAGCTGCTGCGGCGTATTCTGCTGCAGCTGCTGCTGCTGGCGTGGCTGAGGCATCAAATGCTGCCGCAGCTGCAGCTGTCGCAAACGCAGTTCCTCTAAGAGAGAATGAGGGGCCCCACTGCTGCTGTCGCTGTGGGCGTGCTGCTGCTGCTGCTGTTGTTGTTGTTGTTGCTGCTCTTGCTGCTGCTGCTGCTGTTGCTGCTGCTGTTGCAGTTGGTGCTGTTGCTGCTGCTGCTGTGGGTAGGGGGGGCCACGACTAGCAGAAGCAGCACCAACGGCAGCAGCTGCTGCTGCTGGTTCTGTTGCTGCTGCCGCTGCTGCTGCAGATCGCGCTGTATGTTCAGCAGCATCTCCCTCGCTGTCCGTGTCTATGAAGACCACTAACTCATCTTCAGACTCTGCTGCTGCTGCTTCTGCTACTGCTGCTTGACTTGCTGCTGCACTTGTTGCTGCTGCTGCAGCTGCTGCAGCAGGAGCAGCAGCAGAATGTGACGCCGCTGAGTCTTCCCCTAACCCCAAGAAGACAGGGTATAGCTGCAACGCGTGATTCATTCTCCGCGGCTGCTGCTGCAGCTGCTGCTGCTGAAGCTGCTGCTGCTGTTGATGATGACGGTAGGCTTGGTGCTGCTGCTGCAAGGGGTGCCCCGCCGTTGCAGCAGCTCTCAGCGTTTCGTGTTTTACAGCACACGAGCGCTGCTGCTGCTGCTGCTGCTGCTGCTGCTGCTGCTGCTGCCTAAGGTCCGGCTGTACCCCCCGAGCATTAATTGCTGCGGGCGTAGCAGCAGCAGCAGCAGCAGCAGCAGGATCAGCTGGAGGAGGCAGAGATGGATGCAGCGACGCAAGTGCTGCAGCTGCATGCGGCTGGCGTCGTTGCAACTTTTGCTGCTGTTGCTGCTGCCGTAGGACGATCTGTTGCTGCTGCTGCTGCTGCTGCTGCTGCTTGGCAGAGGGTGCAGCAGGAAATGCGGCCCAGATAGTATCAAGGAGACAAATATAACATGCGTACATCAGAACAGCAACCTGTCTCTTTCCTTGCAGCAGCAGCTGGCAGCTGCTGCTGCAGCAGCAGCAGCCTGTTAATCGTATACGCCATGGCTGTAGAAAAGCAGCAGCGCGCAGCAGCAGCAGCAGCAGCAGCAGCAGCGACTCTCCAGGGCTCCCCCAAGGGAATCGAAAGAGCAGCAGCTGCTGCTGCTGTCTCTTGTGGTATGCAAGTGCTTCTGGATTCTCCCGTAGCTGCTGCTGCTGCTGCAGCAATTCCTGCTGCTGCTGCTGCTTCAGTCTGTTTAGCTGCAGCAAGACCTCAACTACGCTCCCCAAGGGAAACCACGAAGCAGCACCGCGACTGCCCTCCTGCTGCTTCTGCTGCTGCTGCTGCGTCTGCTGCTGCTGCTGCTGCGTCTGCTGCTGCTGCTGCTGTTGCAGCAGCAGCAGCAAGTAGTCTCCTAGTTCTTTTAGCAATGCCCTAGACATAAGGATGCGGCAGCGGCCGCCAACAAATCCATCAGCAGCAACTTTATTTGCAGAAACAAAACGAGAAAGAGATGCAGCAGAGTCCCGCTGCTGTTGCTGCTGCTGCGGTTGCTGCTGCTGCTTCTGCTGCTGCAGCTTCTGCTGCTGTTTCTCCTGCTGCTGTTTCTCCTGCTGCTGTTTCTCCTGCTGCTGCTGCTGCTGATCCTGGTGCTGCTGCTTCTGCTGCTTCGCCTGCTGCTGCGGCCCTCTCTCCTGCGACTCCACCACGTCCTGCTGTTGCTGCTGCTGCTGCTCTTCGCTGTGCTGCTGCAGCCATCGGGATTTCAGATCGCGGGCTGCTGCTGCTGCTGCTTCTGTTTGCTGCAGAAGCGGCAGCCGCCACGGCAAGGCCTTGCTGCTGCTGCTGCTGCTGCTGTTGCTGCTGCTGCTAAATGCATCAGCGAGGAAGTTGGCTGCTGCCTCTGAGACTCTCCAGCCTATAACCCATTCGCCTGCTGCTGCTTCTGTGCTGCTGCTGCTGCTGCAAGGAGACCCGCCATCAGCAGCGGCAGCAGCAGCCGCAGCAGCAGCAGCAGCTTCCGGCAGCACATGCAGCAGCACGGGCTCAACTGCCCCCAACTTTGCTGCCTGAGGGAAGCAGCCACAGACTCGCTGCAGCGCCACCAGCAGCGGCTGTTCATAGTCGAGCTGTCTCCCTGCTGCTGTTGCTGCTGCTGCTCCTGTTGCTGCTGCTCTTGCTGCTGCTGCTGGTAGTACTGCTGGTTCTGCTGCAGCAGAAGCAGCACCTGCAGCAGCAGCAGCATCAATCCTACGTGCTGCTTTGTACAGCAGCGACGCTACACTCCGCGTCATCTTAGAAAGAAAAGTATTGCTGCTGCTCCCTTTGCTGCTGCTGCTGCTGCTGCTGTTGCTGATGCTGTTGCTGATGCTGTTGCTGCTGCTTCCTTGCTCTGCCTTGACGAGAGCAGCGGAGCCTTCGTCCTGCGGTCTCCTTTCGCTGCTGCTGTTGCCGTTGCTGCTGCTGTTGCTGCTGCCGCTGCTGCTGCTGGTCTCGGGCGATGGCGGGGACAGGACAGCAGCAGCTGCTGCTGCTCCTGCTGCTGCTGCTGTTGGAATCTGCTGCAGCGCAGCGAAGGCGCCTGAGCTCTCCGCTGCTGCTAAGGCGAGAGCACTGGCCTCCCTCGCCCGCAGCAGTGATCCGCAACTGCAGCAGCTCCTGCTGCTGCTGCTCCTACCGCTGCTGCTGCTCCTACCGCTGCTGCTGCTAGTGCTGGTGCTGCTTGATTCACTGCTGCTAGTGCTGCTGCTGCAGCAGCAAATGTAACGAGCTGTGAAGACGAGGATCTCTTGCTGTTTGCCGGTCCACTTCAAGAGCGAGCTGAAGCCTTCCTCCTGTTGCTGCTGCTGCTGCTGCTGCTGCTGCTGCTGCTGGGTGCTGCTGCTGGAGTAAGCATGTCTAGCTCTTTGTCTTGCTGCGCAGGCAGCTAACAAAGTGGCGGACTCCCTCAACCCCCACGCAGAAGCAAAAGTCTCAGCAACAGATGCGCGCAGCCGCTGCAGCCTCCCCTCCCTGCAGCAGCAGCAGCAGCAGCAGCAGCAGCAGCAAAATCAGCAACAGCAGCATCAATATCAGCAACAGCAGCAGCAACAGCGGAGCAGCAGATCCCATGCCCTCAGCAGCAGCAAAACGTCACTAACAAACCCCAAGGCGCAGCACCAACCAAACGCAAACCCTAAACCCTAAACCCTAAACCCTAAACCCTAAACCCTAAACCTAAGCGTACGTGAGGATGGAGTAGGCCTCTGGGGCTGTCAGCACCACCCCGCACTGCAAACCAGTAGCAGAAGCAACTACAAACAAATCAACGCTGTCTTCCTCGCCCTTGCTGCTGTTGCTGCTGCTGCTGCTGCTGCTGCTGCTGCAGCACGGATGCCGCAGCAACACCACTGGAACAGGGTGAGCAGCGCCCATTAACCTGCAGAGGCACACAAATGCTGCAGCAGCCCTGTAAGTTCCTGCTGCTGCTAGTGCTGCTGCTGCTGCTCGTGCTGCTGCTGCTGCTAGTGCTGCTGCTGCTAGTGCTGCTGTAGCTGCTCCTGCTATTGTTTGTTTGCTGTAGAGGCAGGCGCAGCGCGAGCGGCAGCGGCTCACCAGTAGAAGTGCAGCAGCGGGTGAGGGTGCTGCTGCTGCTGCTGCTGCAGCAGCAGTAGCGCATCTCCATAAGAGAGACAGCTGCAAAGAGAGACCCGCAGCAACTCCAAGGAGACGCCCCCGCAAGTCCCTCTCGAGCCATCAGCTGCTGCTGCTGCTGCTGCTGCTGCTGCTACCGGTCCTGTTGACTGTGCTGCTGTTGTTGCTGCTTGTTCCGTTGAAGCTGCTGTTGTTGCTGCTGCTCCTGTTGCTGGTTGTTCTGTTGACTGTGCTGCTGTTGCTGCTACGTTTGCTTCTGTTGACTCTATTGCTGCTGCTGCTGCTGCTGCTGTCAGAGGCAGCACCTGCAGCAGCCGTCTCTCTATAAGCGTAACCTGATCGAGGCCCTTTCCGCTGAGTATTGTCTGGGGGCCCCTCACCTGCAAAGCCAGCGCCCGCTGCTGCTGCTGCTGCTGCTGCTGTTGTTGTTGTTGTTGCTGCTGCTGCTGCTGCAGCGCGTCCGCGAGGTCGCATAAGTCTGCCCAGGAAGGTTCAGAGAAGAGACAGCTGAGCTGCAGAGGAGACAGACGCACACGCTGCATGCAGCAGCAGCATGAACAGCAGCAGCAGCAGCAGCAATAAAAGCAGCAGCAGCAGCAACAGCAACAGCAGCAACAGCAGCAGCGGAGGCCTTACCTTTCTTCCAATCTGCCTTATGGCTGCTTGCTGCTGCAGCAGCAGCTGCTGCTGCTCCGGTCGCAGTGTCTGTACAGCTCTTAACAGCTTCTGAAAGGCGAAGGGGACCCCACAACTTGCTGCTGCTTGCAGCAGCAACATATCTACGCTATTGCTGCTGCCTGAGGCTGTCTGCTTCTCCCATCTGTGCTGCTGCTGCTGCTGCTGCAGAGCCTCGTCGCTGCAGCAATAGCTGCTAATGTTGCTTCTTCTGCTGCTGCTGGTGCTGTTGCTTTCTCCGCACTCCAGGTGCAGCTCAAGCGGTTGCTGCAGCGGGAAGCGAGGACATAACGCCTCTGCTGCTGCTGCTGGCCCTGCTGCTGCTGCTGCGTCTTGCTGCTGCAACCTGCTGCACGGCAGCGGCAGCAGCAGCGGTAGCTGCTGCTGCCGCTCACTCTTCTCTAAAGCTCTTAACGCCAACACAGCAGCGCGCCCCACACTCACCACCTCGCTGCTCCCCTCAGCGGTTGTCTTTGCTGCTGCTGCTGCTGCTGCAGCAACGGGTGCTGCTGCTGCAGTTGCTGCTGAGGCTGGCAGCAGAGCCGAGTCTCCGCTTGCATGCTCAGCAGCAAACCAAAGAGCAGCAGCAGCAAGTGAAACATCGAGATATGGGGGCAGCAGCAAACTGGCATCAGCAGCAGAAGCAGACGAAGCTGCTGCCGCTGCTGCTGCTGTGCTGCTGCTGCTGCTGCTGTTGCTGCTGCTGATGTTGCCCCGAAGTTTACTGCTGTTGCCTCTGAGGCGGCACTCAACTACTCTGGCTGCTGCCTCCTCTGCAAGGGAGACACAGCAACGCATGCAGCAGTCCCTGCTGCTGCTGCTGCTGCTGTTGCTGCTGCTGCTGCCGGTGGTGACACTGACTGGAGGAGGCAGACAGAGGCAGACAGACGTACGTACTGTGGGCCCTGGGCTTCGCCTCTGCTGCTGCTGCAGCTGCTGCAGCAGAGGGAGCTGCTGCAGGAGCAGCTGCTGCTGCTGTAGCAGCAGATCCTGGAGGCCCCCGCAGAAGCTGCTGAGCTGCTTAGCTAGCTGCTCGGCCCCACACCTTGAAGGCGACACGAAGGGCAGCAGCACCAACACATTAGACGTCCGCTGCAGCTTCGTGCTGCTGCTGCTGCTGCTGCTGGTAATGCCTGCAGCTACACGGCGCACTGCTGCTTCTGCCCCTAATAAATCATCAACCAGCAGAAGCGGACAGTCTCCTCGAATGAACTCCCGAACAAGGTCGTCTGATGCAGCAGCAGCAGCAGCAGCAGCAGCCTTATCTGCTGCTGCTGCACCCGCTGCTGCTGCACCTGTTGCGGTTGCTGCTGCTGCTGCTGTTGCTGCATCCTGGACAACGCAGCTGCTGCTGCCGCGCTGCTGCCGAGGCTGCGGAAGAACAACTTTGGAGAGTGCAGCTGCCTGCTGCTGCTGCTGTTGCTGCTGCTGTTGCTGCTGCTGCAGATTCGGTTGTAAGAGCGGGGCGCAGCAGTGCTGCTGCAGGGCTCCGCGTATGCTGCTGCTGCTGCTGCTGCTGCTGTTCATCAGCTGCTCTATATCTCGTTTTATTTTGCTGCAGCAAGTCACGATTTCCCTAGCGGTCCGCTGCTGCTGCTGCTGCTGCCGTTGCTGCAGCGCCGCCCGCTGCTGCTGCTGCTGCTGCTGCCGTTGCTGCAGCGCCGCCCCCTGCTGCTGCTGCTGCTGCTGCTGTTGCTGGCTCTCGTCTTTGCCGGCGGAGGCGTTCGCTGCTTTCGACGCCTGTTCTTCGTCCTGCTGCTGCTGTTGCTGCTGCTGCTGCAGTGAGGTGATGAGTGCATCTGCTGCTGCAGCAGCAGCCTGAGCTGCCAGCTGCAGCCACGACAGCAGAGCTTCTAAGGCTGCCCATGTGGGGTTTAGAGACAGCCGCAGCTGTTTAGAGACACCCCTCTTAACCCCATTACTGCTGTACCTGCTGCTGCTGCTGCTGCTCATGGCTGTACCAAGCTGCTGCAGCTCTGCAGCTAAACATTCGCCGTCAAACTCCAGCTGCTGCTGCGGCAGCACAAGCACCATTCGCGCGCCTTCTAGTGCTGCAGGATCGCCCCACAGGCCGCCCTTGCTGCTGCTGCTGCTGCCGCTGCTGCTGTTGCTGCTGCTGCTGCTGCTCGCGTCAGCAGCAGCAGCAGCTGCCCCGCTCTGGTCTTTCATAATGCGGAGGAAGGACGGCTGCTGCTTTATCTGCTGCAGTTGCTGCTGCGTGTTGTTGCATGCAGAAGTCTTTCCGTTAGCTGCTGCTGCACTTGGTTTCATTTCTGCTGCACCTGGTGCTGCTGCTGCTGCTGCTGCTTGTGGGGCCGCCTGCAGCAGCTGCAGCAGCAAACGCATGCGGCGGCGCATGCTTTGTGCTGCTCGCAGCCACATAACAACACCAACAAATTGTCCTGCAGCAGCAGCAACTGCTGCCTCAACGTGCAAAGCAGCAGCTTCCACCTCAGCCACACTGCTGCTGCTGCTGCTGCTGCTGCTGCTGCCGCTGCTGCTGCTGTTGCTGTTGCAGGTGCTGCTGCAGTTGCTGCTGCTGCGCGTGAGGTTCAGCAGAGTTCTAACTGCTCCTAAGAGAGACAGCATGTGGCCCCCGAGTGTATTGACAGCTCCGTCTTCAAATTCCTCCATCGCCGCCAGCGTCGCTGCTGAGTCTCCAGCAGCAGCAGCAGCAGCAGCAGCAGCAGCAGCAGCAGCAGCGGCGCAG